GGACATTGGGTTGAGCTTGCCCTTGGGAATGCTGCTTGGGATTTCGTCGGGGGGGTTCGTCTTCCTGGTCGTCTTTGGGTTCCTGGCGTGTCCGAGGACGAGGCAGTGGTTGGTGCGGGGGTGCAAGAGGCGGAGGAACGTCGTCGATATGGAGAAGGATTTTACGTTGAGTGAGAGGCCGCCGGTGATGCCGAGGCCGCCGTCGACGCTGGGGCAGGGGGTGGGGCAGGTGGTGGGGCAGGGGGGGCAGGATGGGGAGATTTACATCCAGCCGACGAATGTGTACGAGAATCTGAGGCCGGGTGTGGGGAAGGAGGCGAAGGCGAAGAAGACCAGCTTTCTTGCGATGAACCCGGTCTACGCAAACATCCGGGTGAACCTGAAGAGGAAGAAGAGGGGGGAGGAGGTGAGGAGGCCACCGATGCCGCCGCCGAAAGTGCCAAATCAGCGGGATCTGCCGAGTGTGAGTGCGGACGTGGTGGAGGGGGAGGGGTCGCGGTTGGCCCACCGAGTGGCCGGTGGGCCGACGCCGACGGGGAAGAGGAAGCCGGTCCCGACGCCGAAACCGGTGGGTCTGGTCAGGCCGAATGCGGTCTCGGCGACGACTGCTGCCGCGGCGACTGTTGCCGAGGCGACTGTTGCCGAGGCGACTGTTGCCGAGGCGACTGCCTCGGGGAGGAAAGCGAGAAATGCCATCTATGTGATGGTGAAGAAGTTCGAGGGACGCTGAAGAAACCTGAATTCGTGATCTGCAAGTCTCATGTGAATCCCTTTTTTTGTCACTGTGTGACAGTTCACAGTGATACACAAAAAAAATTGTGCGGCTGTCGGTGAGATAAAGAAAATCAGGAAATGTTTTTAAAAGAAATTGCATATTTCATTTATAAAAAAAAATAAACCTTGATTTTTTTGTCACGTTCCACAAACTTTTTACTGAAATTGTCAGGGAAATTTCTAATTAGCATAAATGAGAAATTCATTGCCACCAGGTCGAAACGACACGGTGACGTTGTCTATTACGAAACGTTTCTTAGAATAGAAATCGAGTGGATACATCACTGCGAAGGTTTTGTAATGAATATGGGGCTCGTGGAGCGCACGGAAACCGTTCTGCAGCCGGTGAAGCAATTCGAGTTCGTCACTTTCTGTGGGACTCCTCAGAGCTCGAAGGTGACGCGCGATTGCGGAGTTGGAGGCTTTCAGAAGATACTCTGCCGGTTTGGGCGAAGGCGCTTCCGTCACTTTATTGAACGTGAGAGGTTCCTTCATACTCAAGGTGTCCATTGAGGAATCAATCTTCCAGATGTGCAAAAATTTCCGTTCTTGGTCTCAATATATCCTAGTTATGCCATTTCCAAATGACATGTTTAAGAAATCACCCTGTTTGTGATATTCCCAGAGAAATAGGAAAACTCGTTTGGATGTAATGTCTCGAGTGAACGTGAGGAATCGCGGCTCGTTCGTGTCGTTTCAAACAAGCTAAGGCTTGCTTTGGCTCAAGGTTGAAGCCATCCGGGATTCAGGCTCAAGGTCCTCTGTCTGGGGTGAAAGATGAGTCTGAGATGTATCTAGGTCAGCCTGTGAAATATTAAGGGACCGGAAAGCAGGGGGAAAAGGAAGATCCACAGGAATGAACCAAAATGCACTACTGCTGGGTAATTCATCCCATATTGATTGGATTACGACACACACTCTCAAGGTCTCTCATCCATCTATCATGAAATCAATCTCGAACTGGCTCTACTTTCGTCTTATAAGTCAGTGTTCCATATCACATTCCCAAATCGAGGTGGGACATTTGGTGATTTAGCATGAAGATTGAACCAATAAATAATTTTTTTTATCGAGATTGAGGAAAGAAATACTTTATTTTGTAAACCTTTCCACATAGCAAAACAAAGATCACAAGGTTCATGAGCTTTTTCCCTGGTGGGAACATGCTTTGTCTCATTAAGAGCACCTCATGGGGAAAACGAGGTAATCTGGCTTGTCTCAGTCAAACTTAGAGAGAACCTGTTGAAGCTGATGCATAATTTGATCAGAGTCCATTTTCACACAATATATGCCTGATTTCATGCTGTTTGTTCCTTGGTAGAACACTTCAATTTAAAACAAATTGGCACATATTTGATTGAAAACTCTCTTTCTATTTCCCATCCTCACATGAGTCAAGGGATCAGAATAGATCAGTGCCAAGACAATGGAATCAAGCAGAAGCCATTAAGAGCAGACAAAAACGTTCACAGACAAATGTCAGTTGGAGTGCATGGCTTGTGGGAACAAGGCGGGGAACCAATACGAAGGGAGCCGGAGATCGTGCTCGTCGACCCAGGCCATGCCTTCTCGCACCATGTCCCTGAGGGCACGCTCTGCCCTCTCCCTGGTCCAACCCAATCCCTTCTCCAGGTCCTCCCTTGTCACACAACCCAAGGTGCTTCCTTCTGCTACATTCAGCACCTGCAGCAGAACAAATAATTCTATGGCCATGAACATTAAAGAAATGGATCCTTGACTTTTAATAATTAAGTATTTGCTCTTCCTGCAGACTGACAAAAATGTAGTCCATATGCAGATACTTCCAGGAAATTGCATGAAATTATTATTCATTATGCAAAATTCATTGTGTAGAGGCAATTGAGCAATTATTTAAAGAAGATGGATATGTTGAAAATGGAGAGGAGCTCATCCTGGTAGTCAAGAGGCTGAAATGCTTTCTTTCAATAGTTGCATATCATGAGATCATACAAAGTTGAACCCTTTCAGGGGTAAGCCTGTAAATATGTATGTTCAAAATTTTAGTGAAAGTTCCATTTCATGTTTTGTGTAAATTACCCTGTTTGAGTTCACTGCATGTTTTGGCTTTCACACACTAGAATAGAGAATTACCTATTACATTATGAACAAAAACATAAGATGAATTCATAGTGGAAGGACTTCTGAATTTTTTCTCAGAACATCCCAGGAGCCTGAAAAAAAAAAACTTACCACTCAAAGGGTTAACCATACACTGCATGGTGTGCCAGATATGGCATGTTCTGCTATGCATTGAAACAATTTTTTTTTCTGTCTCTCTCTACCATCTGGCTTCCATAAGCTTTTTTTTTCAACAATCATATAATCAATTCTTCTCTGGGAAGCATGATGACTTAAGCAAAGGTAGTCTTGGCTTCAGTCACCTTGCTAGTTCCCATAACCTCTGGAGAACTTTAAAAATAAATGAAACATTCAACAAAACAGACAGTTAAATCACATGGATACAAAGAGAAAGCTATACCTGTGTATGGTCCATGCTGAGTTCCATGGGCACAGATTGAACAAGATAGCGATTTCCTGAAGGGATGAGTGTGAATCCAGTGCCAAGGACACGCAGCTTTTTAATTGCTCGCATCAGGTCATCACTGTAAGGAATAGGGAAAACACCATACATTAGATTGGCATCATTGTTACCCCAGGTTTCTATAACAGCAGTGGGGTATCTAAGGTGCCCCATAGCAAAAACTCAAATTTGATTTATTGAAGCCAGTAACATAATACTGAGTTAGTTCTAGAGTTCCTTGAAAGTGTCGGTTCTGGCAACTGGTTCAAATATACTGTAGAAGGCAAAGGATGAGTCAACAACATATAAACTTTCAATGCTGTCCAGTTATAACTGAGGCCCTTATTTTGTGGGGTCCTGTGAACAAGCTGTCAATTCAGAACTGACGGGCACCAGTGCCCCAAGAAAGGAGCACCATGGTGACTTCTGGAAGGCAGCAATAATACATTGAAAGGAATGAATTACAGAGATGTATTAATGCAATTCCAGTATTACATTACCAAAACATATCAAGAGACCCATTCTCATGATACATCTTTCTTCAACACATTATGGTAAAAACTAAGACACAGAAAAGTTCAGCAAAGCTCCAAGTATGACAGCAAGCAATTAGGAGGCATCTTTACTTTCATCCTCCACCTTTCCACACTGAATTCCTTAATTGATGCTATGAAGACAAAAGAGTGACCCAATATGAACCCACTTGGTTATATCCTGAGAAGGGGACTGGTACTGCTTCTTCCCCCCTCTTGAGACCAGGACCCGCTCCCGCAGCTCCTCCAAAGAGATTAAGCCTCCATTACGATGACTTGTTGCCATGCAAACTTCTATAACCTGGACACCCAGTTCATAGTAGAAGTCACCTACACCAAGCAACTCTGCCCAGGATCCTATTTATCAAAGAGAGATCTCCCATATAAACAATGCTATGAAATTCAGTTTCAAATGTTAAATTTTCACAATTTTTCAACAGGTATTTGGACACCACTGCATGATCTTTCATACTCATTGAATTATGGAAGACCAAGAAGACTGCCACTGGCCCAAGTAGAATCATCAAACACAGAATGAAATTTTAATACTTAAGTTTTCAGAGCAACTGAATGATCTCTCCTTAGAGAAAGGGTAATTTGACTTCCAAATTCTAAAAGAGGGAAAAAGTGAAAGTAAGCCTAGAACACATCATGCATGGAAAGGAGGAAGCAGACAGACCTTTGCTTGATGCCAAAGGGTCCACACCAATACTGGAACACATTTCTTGGAACTGCCGCCGGAACTGGGGGTCCTTGCGTATCTCATTCTTGTACCGTGATGCATAGCTCTGGAGCTTCTCACGGAATGCTTCCAAGAGATGGGAGAACTGATTCCATAAAAATTAAAGATGCTTCACAATACGGATATGGCATGCTAAGTGAAGATAATCTCAAGGTACACACAACTTGGTAAAATTGCATCTATGCTTTCCAGAACCCACAAGCAACAGTATTGCATCTATATATCTGATTTGAAAGAAAGTTCTCGGAATTTCATGAACAATTATTACAACCCAGTTCATTTAAAAGTAAAATCATCTCAATCATGAATGTAATCACCATTTCAAGCTAAGGCTTGCTTTGGCTCAAGGTTGAAGCCATCCGGGATTCAGGCTCAAGGTCCTCTGTCTGGGGTGAAAGATGAGTCTGAGATGTATCTAGGTCAGCCTGTGAAATATTAAGGGACCAGAAAGCAGGGGAAATCGGAAGACCCACAGGAATGAACCAAAATGCACTACTGCTGGGTAATTCATCCCATATTGATTGGATTACGACACACACACTCTCAAGGTCTCTCATCCATCTATCATGAAATCAATCTCGGACTGGCTCTACTTTCGTCTTATAAGTCAGTGTTCCATATCACATTCCCAAATCGAGGTGGGATAATTGTTGATTTAGCATGAAGATTGAACCAGGAAATAATATTTTTTGTTGAGATTGAGCAAAGAAATACTTTATTTTGTAAACCTTTCCACATAGCAAAACAAAGATCACATGGTTCATAAGCTTTTCCCTGGTACTCGCGAGACAATGAGCGGCAGTGAGGATATTCTTCTCGTTGATCACCGAGCCCCCACAGAAACTGTTAAATTGTCCCAGGTATTTCCCCGCCAAAATTAACGCACGGTAAGATGTATTTCGAAGAAGCGTAGGTGCGTCCGTTTTCAAGCGTTACCTGGTTTGGTCCTAGCTATTTCGGCGCCCTGTGGAAACGCCTTGCCCCCCCCCCTTCCACCTCCCCCCCATTCCCAGGTAAGGTGAATCCTTTGTGTCCAAAAAGACGCCGAAACGGAAGGCATTCCCACTGACTGAAGTAAGTAAAACAGAGGGTGGAATCCATTATTGCATATTTTTGCCCCCCTTGTGAACTCGCGCCCTGTACGGGGATACACCTGGTACTTGCCTAAGAATCATCTTCTTGTCCATGCGATCCCGTTGAGGTACTTCCTCCGTTTCGGATTGGTTCTCGGTGCCTGCCTGGTCATTCTTGATTGGTTCAAGGTCCATGTATTTCATGTTGAAAGAACAGTGCGTAAGTCTTTCTACCGATGGAAAATGGAATCTAAACGGGGCAAACTGAATTTTTCTAATCCGTTGGTGTTTGGCTGGTGTTGGATCCACTCCCCCACCCCCCCCACTCCCCCCGTCCCTCTCCCTACCCTCATCAGCAGATGAGTCAGACTGATGCGATTCCAATTGCCCCCGCTCAAATACCTAAGATCCCAGAAATGAATTGGCGGACGACATGATGAGTCAATACAGGTATGAAGCCCCACTATATCCCTGACGATGAATACGTTATCGTTCGTGCCAAGTGCAGCGAGTCCCGTTCGAGTGCAGCAGGTTCCGTTCGAGTGCAGTGAGTCCCGTTATGCTGAAAAGCTCGACTCGGTGGCATTTCCCAGCGAATGTATATGAACACGATTCCCATCTCGAATTTTGTCGCCGAGCTTTCATTCTGTTTTTTTTTTTTTTTTTCTGCCTTCCGCAAACAAAATACCAGGAGAAATAGGAGTGGGCTGAAAAGTTTTCTCATTACGGGTTCTCGATGGCCGTCCCCTGCATTCCTCATTCTCTGTACTCACCGCCTTATGACTTCAGCTTTTTCACAAAATGAAATTCACACTTAAAGGCCTTCGCTTCGACGACACAGACTCTCTCCGATCTGCTGCGACCAACACGTTGAAAGAGGTTGGCTATGGGTTACAGCCAGGGCCGGATTAAGAAGTTACGAGGCCCGGGGCAAGTAAATTCTTGCCCCCCCCCCCCCGCTACTTTACGCAAATACAATACTTTTTTTAACTTAACGTTTTTAATTTCCTTCGGGGGGCCCCCTGGAAGAGTGGGGCCT